ACCCTATGTTTGGATCAAAACCAAGCATGAGAAATTTCAGCATAAAGGAATTTTCTTACGGATGTTCATAGAGGAGGCTAAAAAGACTCATTTCAGCCCAGTGCAGTGACCCAGTAATATGCTGCAATGTCTTTTTTTTTTTTTTCTTTCTGTGCAAAATTCAACAGAATTTTGGTTAATTTGGTGGCTCTCCCAAATGTCTTTTGCTTCGTAAAGTGATACAACAATGAGTGTGTTGAGAGGCTTTGATTCCTCTGGGCAGATGAGATTCAGTATTTTAGTATGAGTTTGTCTTATCTGCTCCTTCCTAGATTGTGCCCATAGTTTGGAAGAGGATATTAAACATTCCTATGTTTTCATCCTGTTTCTGAATCTTCATGCTGGTATTTGGTTGAACAAATAAGATTTTTTTTTTTTCTTCACAGCTGCAGAAGATTTTTGATTTAAAAATCTGGTATTAGGTGATTGGTCAGAAGCTGGTGCTGTGTGAGTAATTCAGGTGGCTGCGAGGCCTGAGTGGTGTTTCCTCTTTGAATATTTCATTGGACTCAGAAATGGGTTTCATGTTTTTAATTTGTAAGAAAAATCCCAATCCTCTGTGCTGTGTTCAACACCCTTCAAGAATGGAGCCTAAAATGATTGAGGAGCTCTTGCTTTAGTTCTGGGATGCATTGCCAGGATAAAACGTGATAAAACACGGATTTCATATCGCACCAGATCTTCCAGAGAGGGAAGATGAGCTGTGGAATTCCTGCTCGCTCCTCTGGGAATCACTCCAAGGGTGCTGGAGCTGGAGGGTCAGTAAATGGGGATGTTTTACCCCAAAACCATGGTGTCTGCCCCGAGCCCTGGACACCTCCATGGCAACTGAAGACCCATCCGTGGGGGAGGAGGAATTCCATCTGCAAACCTCCTCTGTAGGCACCCAGCAACTGGATCCATAACATCTGTTTCTCCAAACTGTGCAGAGCGCTGCCATATTACTTTTTTCCAGCATTCCTCTAACGTGTAGTATTTTTTTGTATGCCAAGTATGTTGAGGCCATAAATACTTTAACATGCAGAAGATGTGGAAGGAGGGAAGTATGTCCTTTTGGATGCCTTTTGCCTTCCCTTCCCCTTCCCTTCCCTTCTAGCAGAGCCTGGGTCCCTTTACCTGCCGGAGTGTGGGACCTGGGACAAGGGCCTGGAGTGACAGGACAAGGGGGAAATTCTTCCCTGTGAGGGTGGTGAGGCCCTGGCATGAACTGAAGAGGAGCATCGTAGGCAAACTCTACAACTTCAGAAGCTTCTAGAATATTTTTGAAAAGAAACCCAGAGAATCAGTTGATTCTTGTCAAAATATGGATCCCACGAGGCACGAGAAATAATATCCACCCAAGGAATTGAGGGTATAACCCTGGAGCTACACAAACTTAGGAGCCGTGTCCACCCACCGTGGCTCAGTTTTGGGGGAGGCAGGCAAAGGGAAATGTGCTGTGGGCGAAGCTTCTCTCTTTGCTTTTCTTCCAATCAATCAACCAGTGTTTGGTGCGACTCCAAAAGCTTTTCTCCTTTGGATTGGGAAGCGGAGCAGCAGGTAGGTGTGACGCAGGTTCTGCACAGTCACCGGCCTGAACCCACCTTAAGCCAACAGAGAGGGTGAAAGGTAGCAGTGTTTGGGGGCTGAATCCGTGTTTTCAGACGAGGCAGCACCTCTTTTATAAAAGCATGTTTCTCTGGACTCCTTAAGAAGTTTAGACTGGAGGGCTGTCTCCAGGACCTGCCCCCTCCCCATTCCACGGCCCAGGTGTTTGTCTTGGCAGGAGGCAGTGTCTGCTTGGCCAGGGCTGGGATATTAAACTGAGGGAACACAGAGCTCTTGATGCTTTTCAATAGGGCTTCTATTTAGTATGGGGCAGGATAGAGCTGTCAGCTACCTGTGATTGTCCAGCGGGGAAAAAGGGAGGGATGAGGAGTGGAGGAAGAGCCCTGGAAATGTTTTCCGATGCCATCGATAGAATGGTGAGAGGGAAGCGTTTTCCAGGAGGCAGAGCCTTGTGGTGGTTTGACTGCTGAGCTCTTCGCTGCAGTCCTGGCGTTGGTGGAAGGGGAAATCAAGGATGATGCTGGCTGGAATGACGTGGGATGGCACACGGAACTTCCTGAGCTGAACTTTCCATGTGCGGAGACCCTTGTTCGGGATTTCACTACGATTGATGTGCAGCCCAGAGTGGGAACTGGTTCCCGTGTCCTGGGTCTGAGAGGGGAGTGGGGTAGTGCTGATATTCCATATGTATTTCAGATACATATTTCTGCTTTTAATTTTGAATGTGTTTAGGGTTTAATTTTCATAGAAGGGAAATTTAGTTGGAATGACCTTAAGCTCAAGGAGGGAAGGTTTAGATTAGATGTTAGGAAGAAATTGTTTACTCTAAGAGTGGGGAGGCCCTGGCACAGGTTGCCCAGAGAAGCTGTGGCTGCCCCATCCCTGGAAGTGTCCAAGACCAGGTTGGACGGGGCTTAGAGCAACCTGGGAGGGTGGAAGGTGTCCCTGCCCATGGCAGGGGGGTGGAACAAGATAGGTCTTCAATATCCCTTCTAACCCTGACTCTCACACGTGCCTGCTTCATGTGTGCTCTGGTGAGAGCTGTGCTCTTGCCATGCTTCCCTTCCAAGTGGAATCCAACAGCACAACCTGGCTTTATTACTCCATATTTGCACTTGTGTGTGACTGAAGGGCCCCAAGTTGGAACTTCCTTCCAGAGGGAAGGGGATTTTGGCATCCTCGGATCCCTGTGCTCATTCCTGATTTTTTTCTTGCTCCTTTCTTGCCATGGATGACCAGTGCAGCCCAGCTTCCTATAGCCAGCCTCCTGCTGCTGAGCAAACTCAGCCTGCTTATTAATCTGCTTCCACCTTGTTGACAGCCTGCTCTGCTTGGACGTGAATGTAGAGCCTTGAATGTGATGTTAAACTTCAATTTTTTAAGCTCCTTATCTGCCCTGTTTCAAATCTTCCCAGCCAAGACCCAGCACGTGGTGTTTCCACATTACTGTGTGGGACAGAAGGGGTGTGGATCCCGAGATAGAGAAAAGGTGCCTGCAATAGAAATGAAGATTCTTGTAGGGGGATGCACAGGAAAGCTCTGTGGATCTTGAATTTCCAGGAAAAGAATGAAGTTGGCAAATATTTCCATATTGGGTTTCTGATTTGCTTAAAGCAGCTTTACAGTTCAAGTTCTCTCGCTGTTCAGAGCTGACTTAGGAGAAATAGCTGCTAATTAATGCCTCAGTTCCCTGGAGGATCACATCAGTGTTTGAAAAACTGTTTCTTTGTGGCACAAAGGCACTCAGCAGAATTAAAAACATAATTTATAGCATTATCTTCTCTGTGGGAGATCCTGTGTCTTAAAAGAACATCAGGAGTTCAGAATACAGATACCAGCAGAGTTTGGGATGGAGACTGGGAGCAGAACCCAAGGCCTTTCCTACTCACAGGTAACGCTCAGGTAACATCAGATTTAGCAGCACTTGATAATGGCCAACAGTGTGACTGCTGAACAAACCCTTTCACTTCCTGACACTGAGGGTGGCCTTTCCAAAACTCGCCTGGGAATTAACTGCCTCTCCCTTACTGCAAACCACTACAAACAGGGTGTTTGACTTCCTAAAATACTTCTGGAAATCCCACCCCAATGTGTAACACCAAAGTTAAATGTGGCCATTAATGGCCACTCCACAGCTCTCCATTGTGCTCCCTGAATGAAGGGCTCTTTCCTCTTTTCCAGCAACCACCCCATGCATATTTATAGGGAATCATGTTCCCCCTTAAATGCTGTTGATTTTGGCTGGGGAAGTGATTCCTTAGTGTAACCTGCCCTTGTAGGTTATTTTCTCAAGGCTTTATATTGTTGCTAATTCCCTTATTCTTGTCTGTGTCTTTTGCATGGGAAAAAACCCAACTACATGCATTTTCCCAGGTTTTGTTTTATCCGTGGACTGTCCAGTAAAGGATGCAAGGCACAATGTCCTCTGGGAGGTCCTCCTAGGTGGGCTGTCTGGGCCAGGCTGGGTTTGGCCTTGCTCCCAGTTACCTTTTATTATGAACTCCAGCAGCACTTGCTCCTGCATCGCTTTAATTCCACAGAATCCCCTCGGTTTGCTACTGGATCAAGAAGGATGGAAAGAGATGCTGGGATGAAAGGTTAATGTTAATGTTCAGGAGTCATTTAAAGACAAACATAGATGTTGGGGAGCAAGGTGGGTGCACATGGGGTGCTGACTGGACCTTGGGCAGGTTTTTTTCTGGGTTCTCCCCTGGGAGAAGAGAGTTTGTAGGAAAGCCAGAAAGTTAATCCACTTCCCCCAGCCTCAGGGCTGAGATGGTTCTGGGAACAGGCAGGTTTATTCCAGCCACTGTGCCCCAAAGGCTGCTTTTGGATTTTGGTGGTCCCGTTGTCTTCCCATTTTCCCAGAATACAGAGGACAGCTCTGGAGAACTCCACAGCAGCACAGATTCCACCCTGCTTCCTTCAGCGGGTGGAAATTCTGAACGTCCTTAATTTAGAAGAAGAAAGCAGTAAAATTAATAGCATTCCAAGATTGCAGACTGTGCTTTCCTGGATTGCTCCATCAATGTGTTTTTGTGGAAAAAAATTAAAAAATTTCCACTACATAGTTCTTTCTTGAAAATCCACCACAGCTTTTTCTCCAAGGGAGCCTTGAAAAGTACGTGCTCTGAGCACCTGCCTGGGGGGAAGGAAATGCTTGGTTGGCAGTACAGTTTACAGGGAAGATTCACTTAAAAATGCGGGACCTGCTTCTGCCCCTCTCTCTCCCTCCATTCACTTGGAAAATTTCAAGCTCTTTTTATTGATGAAATTTGGGGCAGGGGAAAAAGAAATCTGTTGGTTACAGTAATATTCCAAGTGTTTTATACTTTGCACCCCCTTGATATTTGCTTGTTGAGCCTCTTTAGGCTCTCCAGTGACTTGGACGTGCTTTCTCTCTTCCTCACTAGGCTGGAATGATAAGAACTGATGAGGATGAATACTTCATTGAGCCCTTGGAAAGAGGAAAGCAAATGGAAGAGGAGAAGGGAAGGATCCACATGGTGTACCGGCGGTCGGCGGTAGCGCAGCACCCGCCTGACACACTCCCCGACATCCACACAGAAGGTACAGTACCCTGTGGGGGTTCTTTGCAGATCTGTTCCGGGTGACTCCAGCCTATGGAAGCTTTGGAAAGAGGCCACACAACTGCTGTTTAAAGTTTGTGTCCTGTTTGTTTCCGAGTAACAGTGAAGTTGTGCCAATTTACTGTTTTCCTCCTCCTACCGGTTGCAGTTCAAGCGGTCTGAAGGCGCTTGTGTGGGGCGGATATATTTTGTCACATCCAAGGATTTCCCTCTGCCTTGAAGATAATGCGGTTGGTCCATCTGAGAGTAATTATTGTGTCTGAGAATAATTATTGTGTAGTTTAATCCCTTTGCTTGTATGTTTTTTTTAATTTTGCACAAACCCTTACAAGTCAAGGCGTTGCATAGGGGGGGACTGAGGATTTTGAGCCTCTGGGCTGAGGATAAAAGAGCAGCTCCGCTCCCTGTCAGTGCTCTGCCTGTTTTTCAGCATCTCTCAGCTTCTCAAATTCCTGTTCATGTGTTGTGTTCACATGTTGATGGAACTTGAAAGGGTTTGGGAAATAAAGAACAATAACATGCAACACACAGAACTAGAACTACTTGGCTTTTGGTGCCCCAGCAAGGTTATTCCAATTTAGCTCGTGCATCTGGGGGGGTTTAGCCCAGAGAAGAGGAGGTTCAGGGGAGACCTTCTCAGAAAGGAAGTCAAAACTCCCTGAATGGACATTGGAGCCAGGTGGGATTTGGTCCCTTCTCCCAGGTAACAAGTGACATGTATAGAGGAACTGGCCTCAAGTTGTGTCAGGGGAGGTTTAGGTTGGATATTAGGAAAAATTTCTTCATGGATTGGGCTGCCCAGAGCAGCGGTGGAGTCACTGTCCCTGGAGGGATTTAAAAGTCATGAAGATGTGGTACTTGGGGACATGGTTTAGTGGTGGCCTTGCCATTGCTGGGGGAACATTTGGACTCAGTGATGTTGGAGGGCTTTTCCAACCTAAACTATTCCATGACCAAGGTTATAGCAAGCTGTCCAAGCCTGTGGAGCCTGAGGAAATGTTTGCAGTGGTGGAGTTGTCAGCAGCATATCAATGCCATGGACATCTTCCTCGTTCTTCTCTGGCTCTGCTCCCGTCTCTGTGCCCGGGCCGGAGGCAGTGACACAGAGAACGGTCTGCTGGTGGTTTGGGAGTTCAGCCAGCACAGACAAAAATCCAAGTTCTCAGCAACAGATGACAGATGACTCAACAAAACAGTCATTAAGATAAAAAAGTACTTAAAGCTGTCGTTGTCACTGAAGAGGTTACAAAAGCTGGGAAATGCTGTGTGAAAGCCTTTCCTCCACGGTGACACGAGACACGCTGCAGCCTATTCTCCCTACAAAAAGCCACTTTCCTAATAGGAAAGCTTCCAACTCCAGCTATGTGGAAGAGCTTTCAGTCTGACAGGACATCTGGAATTCCTGCAGGATATTATAGCATTTGGGAATTGGTTGGACATTGTTCAAACAGTGGGACGGAGTGAGCGTAGGAGTTTTAAGTGGAAAACCTGAGAACAAGGTTTTAGCCATGATCACAGTGCAAGGGACATGAATTGGTTCATATACTGTGTTCTTGTGGAAGTCAGCACACTTAGGATCTATCCTTGTCTCTTTATTTATGGCTGTTCTTTGGGGTGAAGTGTAAGTGAGCTTTCTTAGCTGGGAACCAGAAATGTGGGGTTCTGGGGAAGATAATGGGATTCCTCAAGCTACTGGATGGTGTGGGTTCAGCCTTCACCCCAAAACAGCACCCTGTGCCCTGGTATCCATGTCTCTGGATAGCCTCTTTAGGAAATGACAGCAGCATATTGCATATATTGGTTTCATAATTTACTTTGTGTAGAGATTGGTTTCTTTAGAAGTGCCTTATATGAGACACTCCAGAAATCAGACTGGAAATCCTGCCCCATTCCTGTGGGGAATTGTTCCCAGTGTGTGTGCACACCCTACTCGTGCTCCTTAAAGGACCCCTTCATTAATTATTGCCTTTTTATAGCTCACTCTTTTCAATCATTCTGGTGTGAATAGGATCTCCTGCATATAAGTGGCCCTGGCTACTTGGGGGTTGTTTTGATACCAGGGAAAAGTGGATAGTTTTATATCTTTTATGCTTATAAAATGCCTCTCCTCTCAGTCTGTGATATCAGGGAAATGTGGATAATTTTCCATATTCTGACAGACTGGTGGCAGGATTGACTATTTATATGTCATGGGTAATCTGACTGATAATTCAGAGGGTCTTGTTTGACTGTATTCCTTGGAATCTGATCTGCCAAGTGGGGCAGTGCAGGGAAACAGTAGGTCTTGACCACTGATTGTTCCAATCATTTTATGAACCCCAAGTCCTTCTTGGTCCCTGTGACCTCCATCACACAGGGTGGGTCTGTTTGCTGGTTTGAAGTGCTGAGCTCAGGTTGGTTCCTCTGGACAGAGGAAGCTCTTCCTCTTCTGCGGGATGGAAGCCAAGGGGTCCCCTGGGAAATCCCAGCTATTGAGAAAACTCTGAAATGTGGTAGGATGAGACACTGGACATTTGTTTTTAAACATCTGGGATGAGCATCTGGTTAGGTCTGGTCTGGGAATCCTGTTACAGAGCAGGACAATGTCTAGAGTTCTCCACGGGTGTAAATACACCCGACAGTCTCCTGACAGCTTTTCCATGTCGGATTGCCCTGGGATGACATTTGTAAACTCGACTTCCCCAGTCATTTAAGTCTTGATCCTAAAGACACCGAACATCTGTGCTTCTCGTTTGAGTTGAGTACTGCAGGTACTCATGGTCAGTGTTCATGTTGTGAGTGTTGTTACCAAATAATGTCCATTAAAGCAAAAAATAGTTACTCTTAAGGGCAAAAAGAAATGAAGATCAAAGATTCCATGTCTGAGAGTCAGAGAGCAAGCAAGCTATGCAGACAGAAAAAAAATATAACAATGTGTGAGGCTGTCATGTTAAAACATTATTTAAATAAATCTTCAGGATTTTCTCACCAAAACAGCTTTTCATTTAGGAATGGAAAGACCTTCTCTCAGGAAAAGCCTGATTTTGGGAGGGTTTGAAAGAACATCAATGATATCATTCTGTCTGGGCAGGATGAAAAGAAGCTGCTCTTTGTTAATAAGCTGAGAAACATCACCAAGATGTGTGATCGTTAACCTTATTCCTTGAAAGCATCCAAGAAACAACAGAAACAGGCAAAGGGCTGTGGAATTTACAATCAGATTTGCACCCAGGAGGCCTTCTGTGCAAGTTCTACTGAGTCAGGCTCAGGAGTGTGGTAAAATAAAATCCAAACTGTGTTTCAGAAACGTAAAAGCCTGATCCAAGTCCTCTGGAGTCGGTGGGAAGACTCAAGTTGATGTCGGTGGGATGACGAGGCGGGGTTTGGATCATATTCTGCTCAAGCTGATCACTGAGAATTCGATTTATCCTTCCTCCTGTTCATTCTTCTGTGATTTTTTCCATGCGCTTTCTTTTCCTGTGGTAGAATGATGACAACCAACCTTGAGTGTGGAGGTTACACAGCCTGGTAATGTACTCACAGCTTTCCCATTTCATCCTCCTCTTCATATCACACTATTTTTTAAATGGCAACCTAGTCACCCAGAGAGCACTTGAGATGAAAGTATTTTTGTAATTACTAACTAACAGTGGGAAACAAGGAACAGGAGCCTTTATCTCCCAGCTTCCTTTCAGAACTTTCATTTTCCCCAAAGAACCAAAGTGCTTGTGTGTCCGATGGGGTTGCCATGGCACTGGCTTCGAGCGTCTTTGTCCCAGGTGGGAAACATGTAGGAGGAAGAAATGATTTGGGAATTGCTCCTGGTTGCCTGGGAATGAAACCCTGGAATAGAAGGTAGAAGAATGGGAAGACTATTGCCTGCTCGGGAGACCTCCCTCGGCACTTCCCCAGGCACGTTAGTGGTTCTCAGGGGTGCCGTCGTGCCGGAGGGTGTCTGAACTCTTTCTCAGCAGAATTTCTCATGACCTGTGTTCTGGTGGAGGATATTTTAGATACTGCCCAGCCCACCACATGAGCCTGTGCAATCAGGAATAATGGGAAAGATGGAAATGATTTCTGTGGGGACCGAGCACACCACATTGTGTAACATCCTCTGTTCAGTCCGGGCATTCTTGTGTCATCACAGAGTCAAAGAGTTGTTTGGGTCTGAAGGCACCTCAAAGTTCATCTCATTTCCCCCCCTGCCATGGGCAGGGACACTTCCCAGGTTGCTTCAAGTGCTGTCCAAGCTGGCCTTGGACAATTCCAGGGGAGGGGCAGCCACAGCTTCTCTGGGCAACCTGTGCCAGGGCCTCCCCACCCTCACAGGAAAAAATTCCTTCCCAATATCTAATCAAAAGTCTCTCTCCAGCTCTCTTGTAGTCACCCAAGAAAGGCCCTTCAAATAACTTCTGTTGATGGCAGTAACCTGGATTATCTAAAGACATCCTGCCTCTTATCCAGAGCTGCTGGAGCTTTTGCTTTTAATTTAGCCCTCTTCTATAAAATTGAAACTTAATTGGATTCTCTCAAGTTCTTGATTGAATATTGGTTTGTGGGATGGGATTTTTAATTCTTTTTTTTTCAGGTAACAGTTTGCTTAATCAAGGGAAAAGTAGTCAGCAAAATAGAACAGGAACAGCACGGCACGGTACAAAGGAGAAGGAGCGTTGGTGATGGATGTATTTAGGAAGGAAAAGCAAACCCAGACTTCATAGCTGAGGAAAAGCTTGTAATTTTTTTTTTTTAAGAAAGAAATTGGAGCAGGAATGGATCAGAAGTGTGAAGTGAGTGATGTGCTGTGTCTGTGTCGGGGAGGTTGCTCTTACGGCCCGATGATGGCAGTGGGGACATCCATCTGCTTAAGTCGTCTTCTCTTCTTGGCAATAACAAAGGAAAATGATTCTTAAATAAAACCAGGATAAAGGCTTCATTCCAACTGCAGGCACCCAATGCCAGAGTAGTAAAACACACAGAAGAATCTGTATGAAGGGAAAATTG